TCCCACAGGCCCCGGTTCCCTCCCTGCGCTTTTCAGCCAGGAGCAGTGGTTTGGCCACGAGGAAAGAGACCACACGATCATTCTCAGGGCCGTGGTTGGGTCGGAACCAGCTCTCTGTTCACGGAGAGACCTGAGCTCGGCGTGATCCCTGGGAGTTGACACCTTGAGGTTTGAGGGCTACAGGCAGGGCTGTGAGATCTCTGAGCACGGCGCTCGGACTAACCTGGGGGTAGGGACAGCCCCCGGGAACCTGAGCAGAGGCCCTCGAAGGTCAGGTGGCAATCATGGCTTGTGTCCACGTGGCTGCACGGTGTCACCAGGAGCCCAGGGAGGCCGCCGAACTTCCCAGCGGCCACCCCACAAGGTCAAGCAGCTTCCCTGAACCTCCCTGCACCCCTCAGCAGTGCTTCCTGTCTGCACACTCCAGGAACTCATCAAATCCTTCCTTGATGTTATTTCCATTCCCTGGTGCTCACACCACAGATAACAGGCTCTCCCAACGGGAGATTCCTTTTGTTGATCCTGAAATAAACTCTTTCCAACTTCAAGATCCGGCAAACGGGTCAGCGGCCACCCTGGCCATGACCTGACTTTAGAGGGTGCTGCTGCGCCCATCTGTGCAGCCCTGATGGACGTGCCTTCATTTATTCAGTCTGCTCAGCTCAGCCTTTGTTCTCAAGAAAAATCCAGCCTGGCCTCTTGGGTCCTTCTCTTAGTAGACTGGTTTTGCAATGGCTGAACCCAGCCTGCTGTTTCCTATCCGTGTAGCTGCTTTGCCAACCCACTCTCATTATGGTCTCCTCTTAAGCTTTCCTACCTCCTGCCTTTAGTGCCGGCTTAGCCAGGTGCTTCTCTCCACTTGGAAAGACTAAGGCCAGAAAAGGGTGGATCTGAGGCAGACCTGGGAGCCGAGACCACAGGTCATCCAAAGCCTCAGCCTCCCACCTCTGTACTGGGTCTGTCCCACCTTCTTGGCGTCTTGAATCCTGCAGTTAAACAGATAAACAGAGGCTGCCTGGCCCACAGACCGTTCGGATTGTTTCCTGACTTCATGAGACCTGATGCTTCCTGATAGCATCATGAATCCAGACCATGGACGGCCCAAGCCCACCTCCAGAGAATACATCTCCAAAAAGTTTACACGTGTGTGAAGTCCCTTTCCCTTCCCTACTGCCCATTGCACAATTTCTACTGAAAGTCCATCCTCGAGGTCATCAGAAGAACCCATGTGCTCAACTGGCACTCAGGATATTCTTGGGGAAGATTAAGGGACAAATGCAATGTTCATTCCGTTGAAAAGACATGTGACCTCAGGGGTCTAATGTAAATTCTCACCTTGAGGAGGCGCAAGACCGGCATAGTGGTTAGGTATGCAGGCTGCAAACTATGGATTCAAACCCCAGCTCTGTCACTTCCTAGCTGTGTGATCTTGGGCAAGACGCTTAACCTCTTTGTGCCTCAAGTTCCTTGTCTTTAAAATGAAGATAATGAGGGACGCCTGGGTGGCTTAGTCGGTTAAGCGTCCGACTTTCGCTTAGGTCATGATCTCGTGGTTCGTGGGTTCGTGCCCCGCGTCGGGCTCTGTGCTGACTGCCAGCTCAGAGCATGAAGCCTATTCCAGAGTCTGTGTCTCCCTCTCTCTCTGACCCTCCCCTGCTCACGCTGTCTCTCTCTCTCCTAGAAATAAATAAAAAAAAATTAAAAAAAAAAATAAAGTGGAGATAATGAGAGCAAGCATCTTACTGGACTGCTGCAAATGTTAAGAGTGTCAGTATATATAAACCGCATAAACCAGTGCCCAGCACATAGCAGGTGTTCAGTAAAAGCAGTCGTTAATCAGTTTCCTCTTGGGGAGGGGGGGCTTTTGCATTTTGTGAGTTCCCTAAGTAAGTACACACAGGTAGAAGTTTCCAAATGGATGTGAGGTCTCTCAATATCCTGACATTCCGCTTGGGTTCTCCCAACGCCCACAAATCATAGGTCACACAGGCACCAAGATTACAGAAGTGCCACATGCTGTCTATAGAAAAGATGAACCCAGCGTAGCTACCCCACCGCACTGCTCCTGCCAGTTTTGAGAGAGGTCCCCATCAACATCCAACTGAAAGAGTGTGTATTAGCATAACCCAGACTGTCCAACTTCGGCCATGGCAGGACCACCTGTTGTCACCAGTGGATGACCAACACAAACAAGCCACATAATGCCCTTCACTCGTAGGTCTTCACCTTCCACATGTGGCTTGGGGGGTGGGGGTCTCAAGCATCTGATTTACATTTCATTTAAAATGTATTTCAGCCACCTAAGCCATAACTGAAGTGTGTGATGTGCCCAATTTTGGGACTTGGAGACTACCAGCCCATTAACTTAGGATACAGGCTTAACTCATTTTTATACACGGCTCTGAATGAAGTTTTTCTCTTTTAATTAAAGCATGTCCTGAGACTAAAAGTCAAGCTGTGCAAAACCCATTGCTATTAGCAACGACGTCACTGTGTTAAGCCAGGATTCCTTGGTGCTGTGCAGCTAAAACCAAAATCTGGGAATAGGCTGGGTAGTGAAATGAATATAACTCCATAATCTGATGCATAGTTCCTAACTTCAGCTGCTGATGCTCATGAAAATGATATCACTGTTCACATTGACTGATTTTATCCTAAGTAGGTATCGCCAATTTGGAATTGTAAAATAAACGCATGCTAGTAAGACACTGCTTTGTCTCAAATATTTAAAGGCTCCAAATAAAGATTTTTATCTTTAAAAGGAGACCCTACACTAATGGCTATAATGGTATGCCGATGCTCCCCTCAAAGCCCACCTGCATGTCTCTTCCAGAGTAATCTCTCCGTTATACACATGTACTCTCATTATACGTGATTGTGACTCTCTCCTGCTTTAACGGTCTCAGAGGCTCCCTCCACACTTCTCATTAGACACAGAAGGACTTCTTGGCTTGGCTGCTACGAATTCACTGGTGTCAGACCCTGGTCTAGGTCCACAGTCATAGAGCTATTTGCTATTTCCCAGGAAATGCCAGGTGTTTCATGCTGTTCCCTTGGTCCCAAATGGCCTTATTCTCTCTTCCCCTCCTGGCCATTCTGCGCCCCTGCTGCAGCTCAGTGCTTGACATTGATCAGTCAAGGCCCGGATCAAGCAGTCTCCTCACCCAGCCTCATGCCTTATTCACGCCCCTGAACGAAGCACCTTGCACCTGGCCCTTATTGAAATGATTGGTGCACATCTCTAAGTTCCCCACATGATTATGAGTTCCTGCTGGAAGAGTGAGATACTTATCTCCACATTCTGGTACACAACAGGCATTCGATAACAATGAAGGACAGGAGGATGGGGGGGAGGGGGAGGGGGAGACAGGAGGGGGTAGAGAGGGAGGGAGGAAGGGATGGTTAGCAGGGCAGATCGGGGAGGACTGGATCCTCCACAGTGATCGCCCTCACAAAACTGAACACGGCTTCTCCTGCCACACTGCTCACCTCCTAGGAACGGGGAAGACCTTCCGGATTAAGCTGTGTTCGGGACTACCTATGTGACTGCTCTGTTACTCGCTCTTTCAACATAATAATACCTTTGATGTAATTTCAGTTCCATGACAAAAAAGTAATGAGGCAGAATCACTCCTACTATACAGATGAGGAAACGGAGACCCAGACACGTGAAGTGACAGGCCAGGGTTAGAACCCAGGATTCCACGGAGAGCCTGATCTGATCCCTCTAAGGGTCCCAGCTGAGCTCCCATTGTGTGCTTGTGTGTACATGTACGGGAGCACAGACAATTTGGCAGGGTGCTGTGGGGGCTGGGGGCTTAGTCTTTTCTACTAAAAACATGATGTAGCTAAGGCTTGCCTTACTGTGAATCAGAGGCAGCATTTTGTTTTGGGCTTTTTGTTCTGCACAAATACGTTGGTATGGAAACCACATTTCTGAGGTTACAATCGAAACATCATTTGCCTCCATTGGTTTTCCTAAAACCTTACATGCTGATGGCTGGAAATTCCTACATTTACCACAACAGTTCTTTCTTGGCAACAAGCATCTATCTGTAAATGGTTGTACAGTAATTGTAGCAAACTCTTTCAAAATATTTCATATTTGTGCTCTTTCAGCAAATAAGAAATATAGCCGGGTTTTAGTGTTTGTCTGCAACTAGACCATGATCCCCTTGAAGACAGTGCTGTTCTATTCAGTTCTGGGTGATTCAACTTAAGATGGGGTATGATACAAAGGTGACATTCAATAAACGGGGTTTGACTTGATAAACATGACAAGCGGCCGATGTGCCAATACAGATTAGAAGCAATAACCCGTTACATTTGCCTAGCTCTACGCAATCTCCAAAGCCTTCTTGTGAGTTAATTTGACTTGGCCTTCCCATCTACTCTGTGAGTTATGTAGAACATATGTTATTAGTCCCATTACACAGAGGAGAAAATAGGAACTTTGCAAAGTCCAGAGACAGCTGGGCTCCATCACGAGCGATGAAGGCCAGATCAGAGCCCCAGACTCCCAGGGGGTCCTGGGACCAGCACACTTCTCTCCCCATGACCTGGCCTCCCCTAAATGCCTCCCAAACATGATGTGATGGAGACCCGAGCCACAGGTTCCAGCATCAGGCTGCAACATCCTGGATGTGCTCTTGTTTTATGAGCACCTTCTACAGTGATTTTCTTTTATTTTTTAACGTTTATTTATTTTGAGAGAGAGAGAAAGAGCACACGCACATGTGTGCAAGGACCGGAAGGGCAGAGAGGGAGGCAGAGAGAGAATCCCAAGCAGCATCTGTATTGCTGGCGCAGAGCCCATCTCAGGGCTCAGTCTCACAAACAATGAGATCATGACCTGAGCCGAAATCAAGAGGCAGAGGCTTAACTGACTAAGACACCCAGGTGCCCCAACATAGTGACTTCATTTTATATTAATTGCCTCAGGCTGCCCGAACAGAATACTACAGACCGAATGGCTTAAAGAACAGAAATGTATTTCTCACAGTTCTGAAGCCTGGAAGTCCAAGATCAAGGTGATATCATGGTCAGGTTCTCGCAGAATTTCCTTCCTGCCTTGCTGATGACCACCTTCTGTGTCCTCCTCCAATATGGCCTCTTTTCTGTGCTTGTGAGGAAAGAGAGCACTGATGTCTCTTCGTTTTCTTAGAAGGACACCATTTAACCCTAATTACCTCCCAAAGGCCCCATCTCCATATACAGTCACATTGGGGGTTGGGGCTTCAACACATGCATTTGGCAAAGACATAATTTTGTCCATAACAAGTTCAATCCAGATTTGTCCAAAATGCATACAGACTGAATCCTGGCTCCTCTCCTACTGACCACCCCCCCGCCCCCCCGGGCCCTACGCATCCATTTTTCTAATTAGCTTTGACTCGCCTTTGTGTTAATGAATTCTGTTCTATGAGAGAGTTCTGGAACACAGTCCACTTGTACACTAGAGTTTTGTCCCTGTGTTTATCTCAGTTAATTTCTTTTTTTTTTTTTTTTTTAATATTTTTTATTTACTTCTAGGAGAGAGAGAGAGACAGCGTGAGCAGGGGAGGGTCAGAGAGAGAGGGAGTCACAGACTGAAACAGGCTCCAGGCTCTGAGCTGGCAGTCAGCACAGAGCCCGACGCGGGGCTCGAACCCACGAACCGCGAGATCATGACCTAAGCGAAAGTCGGACGCTTAACCGACTAAGCCACCCAGGCGCCCCTATCTCAGTTAATTTCTGAGGGGCCAGTGAGTGAGAATCATGAGTCACTCTATTTTTCCACTGAGCATGAGTCCGGGGACTGCCATAGGGGGGGCTGATGCGAAGTGGAGGGCCCTGAGATGTAGCCAGGGGCGCTTTATGAGTGGGTGGGGGTCTACTTCTGTCATCTCTGCTCTGTCTCATGTGGTGGGCTGCAGTAAATGTCGGCCTCCACAGACACCAGAAAGAGAAGCCCTGTTCTGGGCTGCTTACTTTATAAGACCCTTTGCAATAGGACCAGGGCCAGGATCAGGACAAGGCGGGAGCCAGCCCACCCGTGAGATCCTGAGAGTCGTGCCTCGCTTGCTTCACCCAAGGCCTGACCCTGCTGTCCTGGCCCTTTTTGACCACAGCCTCCCTCAAGGGAGAAGCTCACAGGGCTGAGGTCACGTGCCCACTCAGAGCCCATCTGCCCACTTCTAGACTCTGGAATTCAAGTGGCCCTGAGGCTGCATGGGCCTCTTTCCCTGAGGGCAGACCCCACTGGTGGGCACAGCCCTCGGTGAAGGAATGCCCTCTTGGCTGCCCACCAGGCCCTGTGCAGGAGGGTGAGGATCGGGAGGTGGGGAGTAAAGGTGGCCACACGCCGGTTCTTCCCATCCCACTGTGCTCCAGGAAAGAGTCCAAGGATTCTAGAATTCTAAATTTGACCCCGGTCTTCCACATCTCTAAGGAGCTATGTTCATCACGGCAAGACATTTTCAATTTAACGATCGGCTAGTTTGATGTTTCTTTTAACTCTTTAATGTTTTAATTTTTTAATGTTTTATTTTTATTTGTGAGAGAGAGAGAAACACAGCATGAGCAGGGGAGGGTCAGAGAGAGAGGGAGACACAGAATCTGAAACAGGCTCCAGGCTCTGAGCTCTCAGCACAGAGCCTGACGCGGGGCTCGAAAACCCATGAGCCGTGAGATCATGACCTGAGCCGAAGTCAGAAGCTTAACCGACTGAGCCACCTAAGCAGCCCTCTTTTAACTCTTTAGACATGTGGTCTATGACCTTCCATCCACACTTCTGCCCCAACTCCACAAATGTTCAAGTGGACCTGGGGGAAGCAGTCTTGAGAGGTTGACTTAGGATTCAGAGGCTCCCATGGGGACATGGCCACACACACACACACACACACACACGTACAGACAAGCTAGTACTAGAGGTCCATGTTTCTTATATGTGATCATTGTGATTCTTCCTAGTCATTTATGATCATGTTGCCAGGGTAAAGTGTTGAGGTGGTGTGTGTGTGTGTGTGTCTGTGTGTGTGTGTCTGTGTGTGTGTGTCTGTGTGTAGTGGGTAGTGGGTAGTGGAAGCCAAAGATGGTGGGGGCCCTGTACATGGAAACTGGCCGGAGTTTAACTTCCAGGTTAGGGGAGAAATTCTGTAGAGCCTTATCCCAGACTCCCTTCATGCCTCCTCTTCCCTCCCTTTGAGTTTCATAGAACACATACACCAGTATACACTCATACACACACATACACAAACACACACAGAGACACACACACACAGATACACACACACAGACACACAGATGCACACACACACACACACAGATACACCCAGACACACACATGCAAACAGGTCCCAGCCCCAGGCTAGCCTAGGCCATGACTAATATCATTTCTTGATTGTGCCCATTACTAGGGCCTTGAATGACAAATGAGCCCAGCCTGGGGCCCTTTCTTTGGGGGTCCTCACTGGCAGAGCCCCCTGCCAGGCCCACCATGTGCTCCTGGGTTTAAGAGGTTCTTGGACCCAAGCTTTTTGCTACTGGTTCATGCAAGGGACAGGGCAGGAGAGGGGAGAGACACTCTGGGCCCTGGTGTGACAGACTAGGGGAAGTAGCCCCCTCACAGCCTCACCTTCAGCCCAGCCCCAGGGTCCCTGCGAAAACACTGTCTGGAGTCTGGCTTTCTCCCTGAGTCCAGCCCCTCCCGGATCGCCCAGATGGGTTGTGCAAACACAGGGCCACCGCCAAGCGTGGGAACAGTAAATCTCCTCTCGCTCTTTTATTCATGCCCTCACCTCTGCAGACGGTGCCGCGGCAAAATAAGCCCCACAAAATCCCTGTGGGCTCCAGCAGTCTGGCAGTCTCTTCTCTGCTCTTCTCTGATCCCCTCCGGATGGCAGAGGGTGGAGAAGAGACCCTCCCGTCTCCGAGGAGGGCGACAGCCCTGTCTTCTCCTCCTCCCGGGGGGGGGGGGGGGGGGTGGCTCGGTGAGCGCCTCATGCCAAGCCCTCCACCAGGCTCTAGGGAGCCCTGGGCAAAGCGGGAATTGGTAGTCATGGCTTCCGGGAACACGCTCCGTCTGCCTCATCTACCTCACCTTCCTAGCCTCCCCCAAATTGCAGGAAGGGTCCTGGCCTGGGAGGGTCAGGCTGTTTGCTCAAAACACTAGGCAACGCGAGGTGCGGCTGCCCTGGCTGCCACGTGAGGGCCCACCGTAGGAAGGGAGGGACAGCAGGTCAGCGGGAGCCCTGCTCCAAGGGCCTCAGGGCCAAGGCGCTGTCTGCTAACATTGCAGCCTTGACAAAGGCATCCGGGCTTCGAGAATTCCCGGGAACCTTCTCTTCCTCCAACTCTGGGTCACCAGGGAAGGTTTCTTCTAAGCCCAAATGGACTGGAGGAGGCTGAGGGGCACTAGATTTTACAGAAATGCCTTGTATACAGAAGGGAGGTGACAGACGGTGTGGCCCACTGTCCAGTGGTTTCAGTGTTAAAACCAGGACAGTCCTAGGCAAACTGGGGACGTAGGTCATCCTGACTGAAGGGAAAGGCTTCTCCCTCTGGGAGGCTGGTAACATGGCCAGGGATGACGGCAGCTTGGACCACAGCTGCCTGTTAATGGTTCTGGTAGCCAAAACCTTCCCTCACTGCTCGTTCCCCATGTGCAGGGAGAGGCTGGGGAGCGGAGGGGTCCTGCGGCCAGCTTAGGAGCTGTCACAAGAAAATGGGCGAAAGGAAAGCGTCTGTGGGTCTTCGAGGTAAGGAGGAAATTCCCTCAGCATCTTCAGGAGTCCGGAGCCCATGAGGCCATACACGGAGCCTAGGGAGTCGGGAAGGAGCTGAGGAGCACCTGAAACAGTGCCTGGTGACAGGGCCCAACCCGTCCTGGAACCCTTCACCCCTGTACAAGTGCTGGACAGACGGACATGGGGAAAGATGGCTTTTAAAACTGCCTGGTGCTGTCTCCTCCTCCCCCCAGGACCCAGAGGGCAAGCCTCGAGGGAGAGCAGCCATGAGTGCTGTCCCACTATGGGCCAGAGGAGCCAGAATAGTCTCGGCCCTTTAGCTCCGTCCCAGGGACAGGCAGCTCCCCATGGTGTCCCAACCACAGGCTGCGGTGCACATGCCTCCGGAGGTAACGGGGGTTTGCATTAAAGCTGCCGAGGCAGGTGCCATGGAGACCACCTGGCCCAGACTCCCTGTGTGACAGGTGGGAGCCCCAGGTTGAGGGAGGCAGAGTCACTAGCCCAGGAAAGCAAAGCCCCAAGTGGTTGGAGACCCAGATTGGGACTCTGCACCCTCAGATGCCTCAGCCAGAGATTCCTGGGGAGGGACGGGGCTCAGGACAGAAGCCCAGGCCTGCGGACCCCCTGCCTTCCTGCAGCCCACGCTGCAGCCCACACTCTGCTCTGAGAGAGGCACATGAGTGCCAGACCAGCGCCTTCCGGGGCCAGGACTCCTCTTCACAGTCTGAGTCCCCAGCTTGCTCTGCTCCGGCACCAACCCCAGGGAGAAACCCTCCAGTAGCTTCCCCTGGACTGCTCCGGCCTGGAGCCTCCAGGGCACAGGATCCTGCAGAGGGTGCTTGCCTGCCCCGCATCTCCCTGTCCAGGTAATGGAATATGTAAGGACCAGCCTCACCCTCAGGAGTAGGGAGCTACTTCCCGCCTGCTGCGAGGAACTCTTCTGGAGGCGGTGGTATTCAAGAGTTGAAACAGCCATGAACAACCCCGGGCTCCAATCAGTCATCAGGAAGCAGAGCCGCATGGGTGAGACATACCCCAAGAGTAGAGAGGTGCCGGGGGAGGGGGGGAGTCCAGACCAGATATGCTGAGAGAGGCTGAATAGTGTAGCTGGGTTCTCTCTTCACCAGCCCGGAGGGCCCTACGCGCTGGCCAGGAGAGGGCAGAGCACGGAAGCCAATAGAGAGGCTGGGGAAAGCCGTCCCCTGACAGCTGCTGTGCTGGCTTCTTAGCATTTATAGCATTTCCAGTTCTGTCCCGTTGTGGGTGAGCCCAGCACTTCCAAAAATAAAATGCAGGCAAGAGCTTGAGAAATGTTCCTGCGGATTGGCAGGCCTGCCCCCTCGTTCACAGCAGCCCTTCTAGGAAAAGCAGGGCCCCACAGAAGTCCCAAAACGTAGCGAGAGCCTGCACCCCACTGTACCTTCCAGACCCCAAAAGCACAGAGGAGAAGAACAGTTCCACCCTGGGCATGGGCAGCCAGGAGCAGCTGCTTACGAAGTCTCGGCGGAGCTCACAGGCTCTGCCCAGGCAGGTGGGATGCTGAATCCTTAAACGGGCAGACTCATTTCCTGCATGGAAATGCCCTGACTTATTCCATGGTAGGCCCCTGGAGCTCCCTTCGCAATGCTTGCCTCACCACGCAGCTTTGCGCCTGGCGGGCCGCTAATAATTTATTGCAAATAAGTCTCCTTGCTCCAATAAGGCAGTTGGCTTCTCTACCTCTGAAGTCCCTACAGAGCTTAACACAGCTGGGCCTCCAGCTGGTCCTCATTAAAATCCTTCTGGACCTGAATTTTCCCACCCTTCCTTGCTCTCATCCCCACCCCTGCACTCCAGCAGCTGGCCCAGGGGAACAGAGCCCAGGCATCCCTTCTCCTCACTTTCCTAAGAGCTGGATTGGCGGGTGCTAACAAAGGAAGGGCAGGCAGGGGCCTCTGAGTCTGCAGATCTGACTGGTAGCTGCCAAAAGACCTTGGGAGCCCTTGTAGCTAAACAGGGAATCGCTATTAGCAACTTCTCTAATTAGGGTTCTCTTTACCGTCCTCCTGTGGAAGATCCTCATTTGTAACGTTTAAGTCAGGCCGCGAACCTCACGGAGAACTGGAAATCTGTAAGAATATTGCCTAAGGAGGGTCTCTGGCAGCAGCCACTTAACTTGCCAGGTTTTGGCCGCCTCCCCGATAAAAAGGGATGGCGATGCATCCGTGCAGGCAGGTGACTCCACTGGGTGATAAAGCACCTTCCAAGTCCACACTGCTGTGCATTGCTGGACCATCTCGTTCATCCCCATGCTGAACCATGATGCGAGCGTGGAGTAGAAAGACCCAGAGTTCAAAAAAAAAAAAAAAGAAAGAAAGAAAGATCCAGGGTTCGCTGGCGCTTACTAGTGGCTGGTCTTGGGGAGACGCCACATCTTTCTGAACTAATTTGCTTGCCTGTAAAGTGGGCACAATAATAATATCTTCACCGCATCAGTAGTGTGAGATCTCAGTGATGGATGCGTGAGCTGTGTTGATAAACTGTAATGGCCCTATGTTACTGATTATTAACCGGCTATAATGACAATGATAAAGAAAAACCTCCCTTTAAATATGCAAACGCTTACAGGTGACATGAGGAAAAAGATTACAGTGGATGGAATTGCTGGTAACGATTTCCTGCCCAGGGGGATCAGCTGCCCTGAACCAGCTTCTCGGGATGGGGACTCCCCAGATTCCAGTGGTAAATGCTCGAGCTCGGGGAAGAAGCTGGAGGTCTAGGAGCCGGGGTGAGGCTCTCTGCCACCCGCCAGTCTCTCCCCCGCCACTTCCGCAATGTGAGAGCCGACTCCCAGCAACCCCCCACCCAGGACATGGAGCCGCAGTAAACAGAGGTCCTTATTTTTTAGTGCACTTCACCAAAAGGGAGCAGACCCTCCAGGAATGAATATTCATTTGTACTATCCCTCCCCCAAAACGCTGATAAACTCACGAAAAAGTTGTTATTGCTAAGCACTAATTGCATTTCCTTGGGTAAGCACCATAAAAAATTCATTGCAGTTTTTAGAAACAAGATGCCAAGCGCATTTTAATTGCTACAGAGGAGAGAGTAGGGGGAAGCTTGACCAGGAAAATGCTAACTGGGCATAAACTCAGAAAGAAATCTCCCCAAGACAGAAGGCCCAGCGCAGAAACAGGAGCTAAGGAGACAGAGGTCTCTTCGGGAAGCCAGAGCCAGAGACAGCACTCACTTCGAGGCTCTCAGAGCTGTGGCATCAGCCCATCTGGACAGCGGGGGCTCTTTGCTGCAGACTAAGATGCATAGATTCAAGAAATGTAAAGAACTGAGTAAGTGAATGCCCAGATTCTAGGGAGAGGAGCAGGAGTCAGATCCGGAGCTTTAAGCAACATGTATGGGAGGAAAATTTAATTGTAATTCTATCCCTTAGCCTGTGTGTGTGTGTGTGTGTGTGTGTGTGTGTGTGTGTGTGTGTGTGTGTGTGTATGAGAGAGAGAGAGAGAGGGAGGAAGAGAGGCAGAGACAGAGGGGGTGTGTGTGAGAGAGATAGACAAAGACAGAGATCTGAGACACAGAGAGTGTGTGTGTATGAGACAGAGAGACACAGAAAGGAAGAGAAAATGAGGGGACCGAGACCATCCATCACTTCACTTCAATGACAGCCATCCTTGGGCTAGTTCAAAGAATTGTCGTAAAAGCAAAGTCCTATCGCAAGGCCAACCAGAGCATTCTTACACATCCCGGCCCCTGCCCTGCAGAGCCAGCCAGAGCCCCACAAAAACAGGCAGAGTGGGGAGGATCCTGACTCCATGGGCCCAGCCGTGGCCGTGACCGTGACTGCATCTGCCCAGAAGCCTCGGGCCACAGGCTGCTCTAGGGAGGCACTTCTGCTGCCTGAGGGACATGGAGAAAGCGGTCCCAGGGCATCCCCGAGCATCCTCCCAAAAGATTCGTGCACGGAAGGGGAGAGGGCAGGGGGTGCCCAGCTGCTGCCAGCAGCATCTTCCTCACCCGCCCCTCCCCTCACCTTCCCAGCCCAGCCCTGCCCCATTCGCTGTCCTGTTACTGAGGCTCTCTGGTGAGAAAGAGGGACTCAAAACCAGGGCCCGAGGGGAGGGGCCTGGACCCGGAGGCTGGCCCCTGGGTGATGTCTGTGTTGTGCGCAAGGAGGTCCGTGCCTTCTGCAGCGGGGTCTGCAGCTTCTTCTCATCTAGTGGACCTGCCAGAGACCCAGGAAGCGTGAGGCTGCGTGCGGTGAGGTGGAGGGCAGCAGGGCTGGAGACGGCGCCCGGGCTGGACCCACAGCACGGCCCCACCACCGTCCGGCCAAGAAATTTCCATCTGAGGAAACCACCGTTTAGAACCTTCATTTCCACTTCTATCAAATGCAGCTAAAACTATCAGCTTCTCTGGGTTTTCTGCCAGGCTTGAATGAGAGCCCCGGTGGGTGCATCCCCTGCAAACTCCAAAATGTATCACCTGCTGCCTGCCCCATGCCCAACCCTGGAGAAGGAGGCTTCTCGCCACCACGCGCTGCATCTGCACTTTATACAAAGGACCTGTCTTCGTGCACATTCTCCTCCTGGGCCCTCCCACTGAACGGTGAGGCCAAGTGGCCTGCACGATGTCACACAAGAACTAATCCTTTGCTGAACCCAGACTGGGAGAGGCCCAGCTCTCTCCAAAGTGCAGGGAGCGCAGGCACTCACCCCTGCCTGAGAAAGCAGGAACGAATGACGGTCGGAAATACGCCCACGAACGACACGAGGGCCACTCACCACAGGTCTAGGGCGCCCGGCTGGCTCCCGGGGGTCTTACCTCACTACACCGCCGCAGGGGCATTCGGGGCAGCCGTGAGCTACGGCCAGGAAACGGGGCTTGCCAAGGTTAGGAACGGGCCGAAGCTCGCCCAGTGAACGGCAGATCTGGGCTACAAACTCAGGCCCACTCTTGCCTAGCTAATACTTAATTTGATAGCAATCCAATGCGTTCGGTGCTGTAACATCACTTCCTCCTCCCCTCCAGGGACTATTCCCCAGCCCCAAGCAGCGCCCAGGCCTAAGAGCGGTGGGTCACCCAAGGGTTGGGTCCTCTGCAAACCGGCCCGCCCACCCCTGCCCCCACACTCACCCTCGCAGTGTCATGGATCCAGTCCAGGAACTCGGAAACCTTGGCATAGACCCCGGGGTGATTGGGCTCTGCACAGCCGCGGCCCCAGCTGACCACCCCCACCAAGCGCCGTGTATCGCCGTCCAGGCATACCAGTGGGCCCCCGCTGTCACCCTGAGAGAGCCAGACGTAGAGACACAGAGAAATGGGTAGTTAGTCCTTCCTGGCGAGGGGGGGGGCACCAGAACTCCCCGGGAGCAGACCCTCCACACCAGGGCCCCTCTCCCCTCGCCTCATCCCTCCATAAATCCTTAGCCACACTCCTTGACTCGCCTAGACACCCATCCTCCTCGGGAGGCTGCTGGAACCAGGGGCCAGGCCACAGCAGGCTCCCCTGGTCCCCGGCCTCGGCACGGCCCACTCGCTGCCGCACCTGGCACGCGTCAGCCCTCCCGTCCACATGGCCAGCGCACAGCACGCGGGGGGTGAGGGCGCCGCCGTACATGCAGGAGCTGTTGCAGAGCTGTGCACTGAGCAAGGGCACCACCGTGTCCTGCAGCGTGTCTGAGATGTGGGCTGTGGGAGGCAGACACGAGATGGGGGCAGGCAGAGCCAGGCTGCGCGGCACCAAGCAAGGCCAGGAAGACACAGCAGCTAGAGGGGAGGTGGTTAGAGGCCCCAGAGACATGAGACCCAAAGAGGGGAGCTCAAGGTGGGAGCTGCAGATCCTGGGAAGGAGGCAAGGGTCTGTCACACTTAAGAGTGAAGAGGACCGGAACTCACCTACACCCCCTCCCCCCAAATGCTGAAGCCATAGCTCTCCTGGGATGAAAGGGCAGGGGTGTAAAAGGCCTGGCTTCAGGGGAAACTCAGGGGGTGTTCTCCCAGGAAGACCCAGGCAGGGGAGACTGGGGCCGACAGTGACGTCGAGAAAAAGGGGGTCGGCACTGCCATTTGGCCCAGAGGGGTAGGTGGGCATGGGAGGTAGAGGTGTGTCACCTTGGGGTAGGATGCTCCCCCCTCCTCCACACCTTTTGTACCCAGGGCCCCGGGGGGGTGACTCACTGTGGCTGGGGTCGGTGTGGCCCCAGCCGGACACCCAGCACTGCGAGCCCCTTGGGAAATGTTGCTTCTCGGCTGGCAGGCACACAGCACCCACTGTGTCTGTAGAGAGGCAGGCGGCTCTGGGCTCCACTCAGGCTCTGCTTCCCTCCCCCACCATCTCACCCTCAGCCTGGGGAAGCACCAGGGCCGGTAGCTCCCCCTCGCCCCCTTCTCCAACACTCCTGGTTCCCGGCCCCCACCAACCAGGTCTCCTAAGAGGTTGTACAGGTCGTGCACTGTACCCCATTGCAGGGAGGTCACCGTTCACACAGAGGACAGGGTATACACTGCAGTGTGCATGCTGCCTTCTGAGTTGGGCAGTGCACACACTGCACACCCCCGACCCGGGGACTGAGGGAGAACGGGGAATTCCTTTCTGGGCATCCGTGCTCCTTTTGGATTTCCCTTGGGGTGTTGGATCCCTCTTGGGGCATTGCTTCCAAAGTGTGTGCCAGGTCCTACGGGGGGGGCCACACTCGTTCTCAGGAGGCACATACACGTGCCGTTAAACCAACACCATGTGTGAGGGGAGGGAGGGTTTCCTTCAGTCCCTCGAACTGCATCAAGGAGGAAGGTTCCATGTGGCCCGTCCACTCCCCGCCGAAACACAGAGAGCAGGCCCAGGCGCAGAATTCTGCAGAGAGCACCTAGCCAGGACTTGTGCACTGTCTTGCTTTCACTCTGTTTTTATGGTTCTTACCTATTTGCTATAGGTAATGTGGGCTCTCCAGTTAGGCAGAGGCTTGAAGTTCCCCCTTTTAAGTGTACTCAAGTCAATTTAGGGGCACCTGGGTGGCTCAGTCAGTTTAGCGTCCAACTTGTGCTCAGGTCATGATCTCACTGTTTGTGACTTGGAGCCCCACGTCGGGCTCTGTGCTGACAGCTCAGAGCCTGGAGCCTGTTTCAGATTCTGTGTCTTGCTCTCTCTCTGCTCTCCCCCGACATGCTCTGTCTCTCTCTCTCTCTCTCTCCCAAAAATAATCATTAAGAAAAATAAATGTACTTAAGTCAGTATAGAAATGTGAACTGCTGAGCAAGTTCAGAGTCACATAGGCCAAGGGCACATAGCAACAGCTGGGATTTGGGAAACCCAAGGTGGTGGTGGGAAGGAGGAGTGTATGTGAGTGTGTGCGTGTGTGCACAAGCGTGTGTGAGAAAGAGAGCGTGTGCCTGGGTACCTGCATGAGTGAGTGTGCACGCGTGTGTGTTGGTGAGCACGCGCGTGCACGCACATGCTGGGGGGTGGAGTGGGGCGGGCGTGCTCTCCTAGGACAGGTGCTGTGGAGAAGCAGCCGGGCGAAAGCCCGGACATCAGGCTGCGAACCGTTTGCCATGGACCTTGCGGGGTGTCACTCTCCTCACTAAACGTGGCCGTGCTTGTGTGTACACACCTGCCTCGGCTACCTGTCAGGGCTGTTATGAGGGCTGAAGGACAGATGTCCGGAAAACTGTGCAGCATGTCACATTGTGGCTGGGACCCCGGGGCCTGCCTGGGGACGGGGCTGGGGTGGCCTGTTGGTGGTCGGAGCAGCCAGGAAGCTCCGCTGCGGACTTGGAGGCAAGTCCCGCTCGTGCTCCAGCTACGACCAGGGCCAGAACCTTTGTCCCCCAAAGCAGGGGTGAAGCTGAGGTCCCAGCGCTGCGGAGGGAACAGCACTGGCGGGGGGCAGGGGGGTGCGGAACGCAGAGGGAGCTCACCTCTCAGGCCTCCCAGGGCCGCCCGGCTCCCACCACGCTGCCCCCCCCCCAACCTGCTGGTCCCTGTCCACCCCACCCCCCGCAGCCTGCTGGTAACCCCGCCCCCTCCCTCTCTGTGCCTCACCCGAGAAGTTGAGAGGTGTCTGGAGCTGCAGGAGGGCAATGTCGTAGTCGTGATTCTGGGTGCTGTAGAGCGGGTGAGGGATGATCCGCTCCACTACAGCCCCCCGGTGCAGCCCCAGGGCACTGTGGCTGACCAGCCCTGCGTGCACCCGCCAGCTGGACAGCCTGAAACTGCACACAGGGGCCATGCTGAGCCCAGGGGAGGGGGGACGGGGGACGGGGTGGGGGGCTGACCTACGGGAGCTGCTGGATGGAGGGAGCTGGCCAGAGAAACTGTTAGTGCCAGCCCCCATCGTCAGGCTGGGAGCTGCCAGGACCCAGGGGCCATGCCTCTTTGTATCCTTGCAGCAGCTGCCAAGATACTGGGCACACAGTAGGTGCTTAATAAATGCTCCAGTACTGCCAGAGACATGAGACACCGGGGGTCATCTGCAAACCCCCAGCCCCTCTGTCCTGAATGAGCCCCCTCCGCATTTCATAACAAATATCAAAGGGGATTCGTGACATCCTAACTCTGAGTCAGAAAAACTTCTAGGAGTCCTGTCCCTCCACTCACTACCTGTGACCATGGGGAAGTCACCTCACCTCTCCCAGCCTCAGTTTCCTCACTGTGAAGTGAGGAGTACACTGTTTGCCCTGGCCGCTGCCAAAAGAAGAGGTCCAAAGAGCTCATTCGCTTGTCATTTGTCATTCCTTCCTTCCTTGCTCTAACCAGCATTTATTAAGCACTTATGGTATCTGTAGGCCATGGGGATGTGGCCATGGACAAATCAAGAAAGGGACCCCAGGGGGGTGCCTGTGTGGCTCAGTCAGTTAAGCGTCCAACTTCAGCTCACGGTTCATGAGTTCAAGACCTGCATCAGGCTCTGTACTGAAAGGTCAGAGCCTGGAGCCTGTTTCAGATTCTGTGTCTCCTTCTCTCTCTGACCCTCCCCTGCTCGAGCAGTCTCTCTCTCTCTCTCAGAAATAAATTTTTTAAAAAACATAAAAAAAATATTTTTTAAAAAAAGAAAGGGACCCCAGGGTAAACAAGACTGAGAGTCGCTGTTCCCGGGAAACTTCCAGTCTAAAGGGGAGGAAAGACATTAAGCAAATAATTACACGGAGGTAATTTAATGACACTGTGATAAATATTAGGCAGCACAGAGCACTGTGAACAGGAAAGCATTCTGAAAACTTCAAAACTGAGCAAGTTCAGAGAACCAGTCTTTGTCTTGTTGCCACTACTCATGCAAAGTTGTTCCTGGCACGGAACGAGGGTGAGGAGGGCCATTTCGCAATCCATTCCTCTCAGGACACACATGGGGAGGAGGACCATTAGATGTGTGAGAGAGACAGACAGAGAGACAGAGTGAGAATGAGGAGGGGCAGAGAGTGAGGGAGACACAGAAGCGGAAGCAGGCTCCAGGCTCTCAGCTGTCAGCACAGAGCCCAACGCGGGGCTCAAACCCATGAGCCGTGAGTCATGACCTGAGCCACCCAGGTGCCCTCGACATGGACATTTTATACAGGACGTACCAACGGCCACACAGGAAAGGCAAGTGAGGCCGTCTCCTCCCCAGAGGCCCCCGAGACTTGCCTGTGTGTGCAGTGCGCGGCCGTCATCACCCAGCGTGGGACCAGCACAGAGCCCCCGCACGTGTGCCGGGAGCCCAGGGCCACACTGGCCTTCCAGGGCCAGCGCCCGGGAGCCCCGGCCTGCCCACCGACTATCCGGGATGCCAGGGGCCTCATCCCGCACTCTGCAAACAGGAAAGCACGGGAAGAGAGGCGGGTGTCAGGCTGGTCCTAACTCTCGGGCAGTGCGGCCCAGTGTGGACAGCTCTCATTTGTTACTCCTGACCCTGAGCTGGGGGAGATGGGAAGGCTGTCCCGCAGGAGGGGTCTGAATGTTGCCGTGTGGATGGATGCAGGCGCCAGGAGAGGCGAAGACACACACGGATGATTGGGGGTCACAAGGAGGGGGCTCCGCAGCCTGTCTCCCACGCAGCCCCTGGTTTACCCCCCTTCCCTCGTCTCCTGAGGCTGTTAACTGGTTAAGGGCCCAGGGTGATCCCCCTGCGGGCTCTCCAGAGGACGGCGGGAAGGGGCCTCAGAAGTCAGGACGGGTAGTGCCAGGAAGTGAAGCAAGGAGATCATCTGCCCAGGTCGGTGGCTGGTGGGGGACACGACAGAGGCATAGACAGGGCTCTATTGGGACAGAACCGTGTCTGCAGGGAGGTGACTGGCAGGCAGAGGGGCAGGCGGGCAAGGAAGCCCACCCCGGAGCCAGCTGAGCCTCTCTGTGCGGCTCGCCACACTCAGGACAGCGGGGAGACCGCCTCCTCCCACAGCCGCCTCCATGGACCCGACGCATGCTCACCAGAGCATCTGAGCGAAACGATCTGGCCAGAAGCACAGCTGTCCCTGCAAAACAGAGGTGGCAGCAAGCAGCTGAGTGTGGAAGCCAGGGGCACTCATCAGGTGGGGACAAAGGAGGACTCTGGAGCAGCCCCTTCTGTTTCCCACCCCCAGGCGCCTCCTCATTCACAGGCCCCCAGGACAGCACTGCTGCCCTGTCCCGTTGCCCCGCCACCACCCACCCTGGGGTACCAGCGTGGCTGTGGTCCTTCAGGGCTGTCCTAGGCAGGGCCCCAAGTTACAGACAAGAAAGTCCATCTGTGCCCATTAAGGGCCCCTGGATGGGTGTGTGGATGAGGGAGTGAGCAAAGAACAGGGCGCTTTGCCCCACACCCCACCTGGGGTTAGTCTCTTCTCTATCCCCAGCCCTTTGCTCTCCACTCCCCCCTCCTCCTTCCTAGCAAAATCTCGATTCCTGCTGGACCAATGCCCTCTTCTCTCAGCTGCTCTTCTCCGTCCCCAGCGGCCCAGTGCCTCGCTCCACCCAGTGTTCCAAACCCCCAGCACCCCGGCTCTCCTGGCAGAGGGAATCCCCACTCATGGGGACTGGGAAATGTTCCTCAGTGTCCTATCTCACACGGCCGATGTCTCCACCACCAGGCTCCCACGCCAGAAAGTAAGGGACCCCACTCAACCTCCTCAGGAGCCCTACCTGGGCTGCCACACCTCATCCAGGAAGCCTCCCAGTCCTGGAGAGAGCTGAGCAAACCCCTGGGAGCTGTTGAGCTGGATGTCAGACAGGTTCACTCCCTTGTGGTGAGTGAGTCTTGGCAGAAGAGGGAAACAGAACAGGAGATGGCACTTAATCGTGACCGGGATGCTCGGGAGATACAATCCACCCAGCAGCACGGTCACTGAGCAAGACTTTGACAGTGACCTCTTCCAGGATTTATATTTGTTAAAAAGCAGTGTTGCTCAAAGGAGAGAAGCAGGCTGGAGCACCATCATGTCCAGAGGCCAGGAGATGGCCCAAATGACCTCTCACCAGTTCCTGAGCACTTTGATGGGGAATCCAACTCCCCCTTTCCCACCACCAGCCTGCCCCCCAGGCCCCTAGCCTGGCCCCAGTCACCTGAGACGCCCCAGGCTCTGGCAGATCCGCACCCCCAGGGTAGAGCTCCAGTCCTCGTGACACACCAGGAGCCAGGCCGGCAGTGCCCTCACCTGTACCGCCAGCAGGAAGCCCTCAGGGTTTATTCTGAAAGACACTGAAGGCTCAGCATGAAAGTCACATCCTACCTGTGGAGGGGTGGAAGGGCCGGGTGGCCAGGGGGAGCGGGACCTGGCCATGCAGGGACCCGAAGAGGCCTTAGTGACTCCTGGCGGTGCCCTAGCTAGAGACCAAGAAGGTCCCCAGGGTGTGCTGAAGGCTCCAAACCAGAGATCCCCTTTTCGAGGCTGGACCATGTCACTCCCTTCCCACCAGAGGAGGAGACCCGGATGCTGGCTGTGAGTTCATGGCCCTCTATTGCGGGCCTCTTTGCTCCTGGCCGGAAGTGGGGGTTCCAGAGCTGTGAAGGGGCTCTGGGCTGGGGGTAGGGCAGCCTTGCAGCCTTGGGGGTGTGGCCTACCTGTTCTGGGAAGCGAGGGGGGTGGGGCTTCCTCATCGCTGGCCTCTGGGCAGCCCAAAGGCATCTCCTCATCCTGTAAGTTCCTGGGAGCCAGCTGAGAGGCTGCTGGCCACAGATACAGCACTTCAGGGGACCAGGACGGGAGAGGGTCTCAGAGAAGAGGCTAGGAGAAGGGAGGGATTCCCAAGGAGAGAGCCAACGGGCAGAGCGAGACCCCTGTGGCAGAGGGAGACAAAAGCGGCTCCTGGGACTCAGCACTACCCAGCCTTAGGCGGGTCCCCACCTAACACCCCGCGGAGAGACACAGCACACTCTCTCTGTCCCTGTCTCTGTCTCTGACTGGGAATGATTTCTAGAAAACGTGTGTCCTGGGTCTTCCCATGTCATCCATCCAAGTACCTTACACTTCTCACCGCAGGACTAAAACATTCTCTATCCCTAGGCTGCAATTCCATCCCTTCTCTCCTGCTGCCAGCTGAGATGAGAAAGACCCTCGTCCTGACTGCCTTTTACACGCCCTTGTCTCCTGCAGCAAGGATCCCCCAGATCCTGTTCTCTGGCCCTCCCCAGAGCACTGAAGGGCCCCAGCGCTGACCACTGACCGAGAAGCCACAAGCCGATGCTCACACCAGCCAGCAGCGCCAGGGCGCCCAGCCCCACGCAGCCGCGCCGCCCTGAGCACCAGTGCCCCGCCCAGGAGCCTGTGGGAGAGGGCAGAGGCGTCTGGGTGGCCTGCTCCCGCCTGCCAGCCCCGCCCCACCCTGAGGCACCTCTGGGGGGGGTGTGGCAGCCACTGGCCCCTGCCCACCTCCCCCTGCCCCATCACCACAGAGCCCACCCAGTCTCCAACCTGGGAAACAGCAAAAGCAGTTCTGGGAGGCCGCCTCTCGCATTGGGGAGACCGGTTTGGGACCATGAAGGGTCTGGGGGATGTGGACAGCGCATCCACTCCCTGTCCCCACCCTATCACTCCCCTGTAGCCCAGTCTCGCCTGCTGGGCTGCCGCTGGGACTCGGGCCTCCGCAGTGGGTCTTCCGCCTATGCTCTGAAGACCCCAGGTCCTGGACCCTCCTCTCCATACTGAGGCTCCGTGTGGGCTTGGACATCCGGCTTCAGGCTCTGGGGAAATGATGTAGGTGGCTCAGGATCCCCGCGCCAGGGGGAGAAGTCACAGCCTACTCCCAGCACCCCCACCCCCCGATCTCTAACCTCGGCTGTGACCTCACTGCCTTTTTTTCATCTTGGTGACTCTCTGTGTGTTTCCACCGATGGCCCCCAAGCCCCCTGTACTCCCCTGGAGCCCCTAACCCCACCCACCTTATTCTCACGCGGCCAGTAGGCACCAGAGCAGGCATTCAAACCCAGACTGGGCTGAGTCCGAAACCCACACTCCTCACCACCCCCTCCCCTTGCACCCCACAGCCATCAAGGGCATCCCTCCTCAGGCCTCAAGACCCCAGACTTCTCCGTCCCCTCCAGTGTCAGAGTGGAAGGCGCTCCTGCACAAGGCACCATATCTAGCCCCAGTGGATAGGCCACAGTGGGGGTCCTGGAGGGAATTCTAGCTAAATCCACATGGAACAGTCCTCAACTGCCCCAAAGAATCTGCAGTGGAGTCCTGACTCCAGGTCATGTAAAAACAAAAACAAAAACAAAAACAAAACAAAACAAAAAAGCAGAACATGTTTAAGTGACAGAAGAGCAGCAGAGAAGTTCAGTTTTACCCCCGCTGGCATTCAGAAGGAGAGCTTACTTCTTACCGGGGAGATCAAAAAAGGCTTCCCAGAAAAGGCCAGCCTGGGACAGCCCCTCAGAGACGCACGGGGCTTAGGGTGACATATATGGGCACTGGGTGTTCCAGGCGACTGAAGAGGCAAAAGCATGGGGGTGGGAAGCACAGAGCAGAGTAAGTTGTATGTGTGCCTGAAGTGCATGTGCCGGGAAGAAGAGGGATGGAAAATAAGACCTTAGGGGAAATACCGGAGCAGCAGCTCAAAGCTGGGTCTGCAGCCTAACACCTCTCCAAACCGCCGTTTTCTCGCCTCTAACAGGTAATCTCCCTCCTCTGTATCTCGTCTCCATTCACTCTCCATGTCAGATCAGTCCTCCCAAAATTCAAACATGAGCAAGTTAACCCCGTATTGAAAGTACCTAATGAGGGGGGCGTGGGTGGCTCAGTTGACTTCAGCGCAGGTCATGATCCCAGGGTCATGGGATCGATCCCTGCTCAGTCATGGGCTCCTCCCTGAGCGTGGAGCCTGCTTAAGATTCTCTCTCTCTCTCTCTCTCTCTCTCTCTCTCTCTGCCCCTCTTCCCCCACCCTCTGAAATAATAATAATGATAATAATAATAATAATAATAATAAAGTACCAAATGAATCTTTGTAGTCTGATAAATCCAAAGTCCTATGGCATGGCTCACAAAATCCCCTGTGGTCGCACCCTTCCGCACCTCTCCATCCCCAGCTGCCAGCATGACTCCCTCCACCGTGGAGTTCAAGGCCAGTCCTCCAGGCCTTCACATGCTCTCATGCCACAGACACTTTGCACCTGCTGTCCTTTCTCCCACGTAGCTGACTCAGCTAGACGTCACCTCTCTAAGAAGGTTTCTTCAACCCATAAGGCACCTGTTGTGGCCCTATATTGTACTCATTTACTTCTCTCTCTCTCTCTCTGTCCTTCCTCACTGGTCTAGGCATTCCAGAGCAGAGCTCAGGGGCTGCCACAAAGTGGGAATTCAGTTAATGCACATTGAGTGAAAAGAAGGAAGGCAGGTAGGGGGCCCACAAAAGATTATGTGACTGAACGGGTTTTATAAATTACATAGTTTTTAATGTTTACTTAGTTTTGAGAAAGAGAGAGAGTGTAAGTGGGGGAAGGGCAGAGAGAGAGGGAAACACAGAATCTGAAGCAGGCTCCAGGCTCTGAGCTGTCAGCACAGAGCCTGACACAGGGCTTGAACTCCTGAACTGCGAGATCATGACCTTGAGCCAAAACTGGATGCTTCACCAACTGAGCCACCCAGGCACCCCTAGGGTTTTACAAATTATACAGTACAATGCAAATGCTAGGTATAATAGCAATATTGATAAGAAACATGTAAAAACTATGATCCTTTCTTCAAGGAACTTAGGATCTGGTAAAATTGACGACTCCCTAAAAGTTAAAATGACTCCTGTTTCCTCCAAGGACCAGCAGCTTTCCCTGCTAACACCTAGAGCTGTTCCCAGTGATCATAAAAACCTGAAACACCGACTCCAAAACAATGTTGGCTTAGGTGGGGTTTCCATGTGTCACATGGAATGTTCTTGTCATGCTCCTCAGTCCTGTTTTTGTGTTCCATTGAACTTCGGGTTCCCGACCCTCTGGCTGGGAGGGAAAAAAGGCCTTAGACAACTCGTCTAGGTCAGTCACTTCTGAATCACCCTGGAAATCATCCCGTTGCACCCACGAGCACCCTTGCCAGTTCAGCTTACGAGGAGGATGGCAGCCCAAACTTCCATATGAAGCAAGACACCACCACGTCCCGTCAGCTACACCGCTTATGGCCCAGGATGTGGAGGGCTGGGCCTCCCACCACCCAGAGGGCTTGCTTCCCCATGAGAAACCTGGGTCTTGCTTTGCCCCTTACCATATACCCTCCTTCTTGTGTCTAGAGATGAGGCTCACAGGGCACCAGCAATGAAAGTGAAGAACCGCAGCCTTCAGAGAGTCAGTCAAGCACCCATAAGAAAGCAGATAAGTAGCAACAGCATTTAGGGTTTGGGTTTCTTCTCTGGGAATAGGGCGTCTTTGGAGCTGGCGTCCTTCTGAACAAGGAGGCAGGGCTTGGTCTAGGAAGAAGCCCTGGCCAGGCTCCCCTCCTGTCTCAGCACAAGGCAGTGTGGCTTTTAGGTCAGCTTCTAGATGAACCGGCCTCACCCCAGAAGGTGCTCTACCTCCAAACCCACGTGTCTGAGATCATGGTGGGTAGCCTGGAACCATGGTCTGTAATGGTTCGGGACCCCCTGGTCCTCCTTTAGAGCAGGAGTTCAGCGTTGCAGTGATTTGTTAAGCACTGCCTATGAATGTGCAAAGCACCTGGCTAGGCCTATGGCGGAAAGAGAGAATAAGTCAGTCCCTGGAGAAAAAAATAAGAGGTTAGCCACCCAGGGTCCCCTACATCAGACCTGCCTGCCAGAGGAAGCTCTTGTTACCTGCCTAGAATCCCAAGGGCGGGGCCAGGGAGAGAGAGAGAGAGAGAGAGAGAGAGACGGAGAGAGAGGACAGGTCAGGGGTGGAACAGACGCACGTACAGCCTTACCATTTGGGTCAGTGGCACCGACGCAAAGCCCCAGGGTCTGCTCCTGTTCTGGGACCAGCACTGATTAGCTAGCCCAGCCAGCTTGGTTAGAGGGTGAGGTTTCCTAGTTCACATAGAGCCCCTCGCTCTATCCTCCCCCTCCACACACGCGCGCGCGCACACACACACACACACACACACACACCCATGCCCGCGTGCGCACATGCACGTGCCAAACGGACAATAAATCTGCTCAGAAATCATGAATAGACCCCTTGTTGCAGGGAAGGGGGCCAAGGGCTGGGCTGGGCTGGGCAGCCTCAGGCCCTCCCATCTGCTAACTAGAAGCTTGGAAACAGAGGAAAAGGTTATAGGGAGGAGGGGAGGCCAGCTACTGTTGCTTAGCAACCAGGTCCCTTGTGCCCAACAGTGTGCCCCATGCATGCTGGCACATTCCCCCTTCCTGCTGACAGGGCTGCACTGGGAAGACTGATATGAGCATTTGGTGAAATGTTTCTGAGCCCTCTGGATTACGCCTCATCTCTGTGTGGGTTGGCTCCCCCAGCAGTCTGGGGCTGTCACCTTGCTGGCGTTGGGATGATAATGAGGAATCTTTGTCATTTCTCTCCTCAGGGCTACACCTGTCACCCCAGTGCTGAGGAAGGGGGGCCTCCTCACCCAGCTTCCCTGGGGACCAGTTACTACAGGATGCCTCAGTGCTATCTTGCTTCAAAGCACAGGGTGGCCCAGTTGGGCCCGGGGTGAGCTGAACACACTGGGGAACCCCAGCTCTTCAGAGGCAGAACTGGTTCCCAGGGAAGAAAAGGGCTCGGTGGCTTCCCCTGTCTCAAACGCTTCCCACGGACCCCTCAGATGGAACAGTTGAGAATATGGGCGTCATCTAACCCCAGACCTGCCACTTCCCTTACCCAGTCTCACCTGTGAAATGGGGATAATCGTACCCACCTCATAGGACTGACGTTGTAAATGAAGGAGACATTGAATATAACGCTCCTAGCCTGGCATCTAGCATAGAATCTACTCAGTAACTATTAGCTGCTATCATTATTATTATTGTTCCTGTTGAACCTCATGGACACAGCCTTTATTTTTGCTATTTTCCTCTCACTTCCAGAGTGTCAACTCTGAGCTTATGGTAATCACACAGAGTGCCCCCCCCCACACACGTCTAATACAATGAAGAGACAGAGGTCAGCTATGCATCACAGAAAGAGGAGAACTGGTGGCTGCAGCTGAGAATTTCCTGGCTAGGCTCTGAGATCTCCTAAAACAAATACCACTCAGTCTACACATATGAACAGTTACTGTGTGTTTGGAACTAGTCTGGGCATGGAGAAGGAATAAGTCATAAACTAGGAAACTGCAGGCTGAGAGAAGACATAGGAACAGATAGAAATAATTGTGATCTGTAAGAAGTGCAATAACAGGGGCATGAACATAGATGTATAGGAAGATAAAGAAATAACGGGCTCTTTTGCCCAGATGATGCAGGAAAGGCTTTAGAGTAGAGGAGACGTTTGAGCTGTGCTTTGAGAAATGAGAAGGCAATCACAAAGAAGGGCATTTCATGTATGTTACAGGTGATGTCAGTGAAAATGCCAGAGTAAAGTCCTCTGAAAATTCTCTTCTTCACAAAAACAAGGAGAAAACGGAGAAAAAAATGATCAGAATCAACTTTCTCAAAAGTCTGGAAATTAACCAAGGGCTTACAGCAATATGGAAAGTGTTTATTCAAGAAAAATGACATAATCTTGGTAAGAACAGTGAGTTTTATGGCATTTTAATGTTTTATTTACTTTTGAGAGACAGACAGAGCATGAGCAGGGAAGGAGCAGAGAGAGAGGGAGACACAGAATCCAAAGCAGGTTCCAGTCTCTGAGCTGTCAGCAAAGACCCAGACACGGGGCTCGAACTCAAGAACCATGAGATCATGACCTGAGCCAAGGTGGGACGCTTAAGTGACTGAGCCACCCAGGGGCCCCGCTTTACAGTATTTTAATTTGCTGTAATTCCATCACCTTCTTTCCAGCTCTGAAGTATCCTTAGAAACCAAAGTCCCACAATCACAGGGAAAATCAGCAGCCTGGCAGCCATGGGTGGAAGAGAGCTGGAGCTCCTTCAAAGCCTCATTTCCAGAGAGTTGTCATTATCTGAACTGTCTGGAAGATCCCTTTTGCAAGGCCCTCTTACTTTGACTGGACTCTGAGCTTGACCAGGATGAAGAGCTTTTTCCCTAAGGAGGTTTGGTGAAAACAAAGATGATTGTGGGACTTTACGGCTGCCTGAGGTGATGGATAACAGTTGGGGCAAACAATAAGCTAATCAAAACCCTTAAAATGAAAAGCTGAATGAAGTGTCCATAAGGGGATTTTGAAATATTCCAGAGAATCTAGAAAGCATGCACACGCACAGGAATGTGCACATACCCAGGGCTGTGTACTTATTTGGGAAAGGCTTCAGGAAGGTCCTATGCTCTCTTCTGTGGCCAACCTTGATGCTCGGAAAAAGCAGGAAGTGAAGGCTAAGGCAGAGCTGTAAACTTCCTGATCGAGTGTTGAAGGCTTGCCCCAACATGTCCCTAAAAGCCTCTGGAAAGACTGAGAAGCTTACTGGTTCTAGGCACCCAAAGCAAATCTCTGTCTGATCTTTAGCTGACCACTAAGTGACTGAGCAGAGACTTCCATGGCCACACGTGACAAAGAATATACAGACATTACAGAATTCATTCAGAAAGTCACTAAACAACATCAACAATAATAAACACTAGGGAATAGGGTGAATGTGATTTCCAGAGCTGATGTATTATATTATTTAAAATCCAGTTTTCAACAACAAATAGGGAGACACAGACACACACACACACACACACGAAAATATGGCCCATATGCAAGGCAGGAGTGGGGGGAAGTCATCAATAAAGGGGTACTGGTTCAAGATGATGATATACAAGAAGTTTCTGGACTCCCTTCTTTCCACACACACACACACCAAACCTCCATCGACACTCAGAGGAACGGAGCTTGCTTCTATTGATACCCATGGAAGGTCTGACCACCTTGTCCATCTTATAACTCATGTAAGTTATAATATGGTGACTGTAGTTTATAACACAGCAGTGTACGATTTGATTTTGCTAAGAGTATATAACTTAGGTGTGCTCAACAAAAAGTAAGTAAATAAATACGTGAGGTGACAGAGGTGTGAATGAACCGGACAAGAGGAACCCTTTCACAATGCACATAGACACCAAACCATTAAGATGTACACTTTAATTTTACAATCACAGTTCTATCGAGCAAAAACTCCATAAAACTGAAAAAATACGAAGAGAGACGGTTTTAGATTATACCGAGACTGGCCTCTTTCTGGCCGTCGTTCTCTGCTTTGCTCTCTTCTCTTTCTCCTGGCTACTCCTTCGGTCACAGGGGCGCTATTCTGAGTGCCCTGGCTGTTTCTCTGGTTTGGACAGAGAAATTTGGACCACCACCAGGGAAAGGCAGCAGGGGCCCGCAGTGTAGACTTTAAGGAGACAGTCACTATCAAGTGTATTGTCAGTACCTGCGTACCCTAAGAGTGACGCCTCCTTAAATATTGTGCTGTGGGGCGCCCCGTCTGAAACCAAATGAAGCACGACCCCTCTGCAGGAAGGCCCTGGGAGCTCAATTTTTACCATGGTGGTTCATTTATAGCCTCATCCTCCTCCTGTCCCCGCCCCTCGACTTTCTTCTCCCTGACAACTTCCTGGCTCCCAGGACCATGTCTATGTAAGCCTCGACTTATGAACCTTGAAATTTTGCTTTCTCTCCTCCTTTACTCACTATTCTCAAAAATATCAGCTGGCGGGGGCAGGGAGAGAGGCTGGGTGGCTCAGTCGGTTAAACGTCCAACTTCAGCTCAGGTCATGATCTCATGGTTCATGGGTTCGAGCCCCATGTCGGGCTCTGTGCTGACAGCTAGCTCAGAGCCTGGAGCCTGGCTTCAGATTCTGTCTCCCTCTCTCTCTGACCCTCCCCTGCTCATGCTGTCTCTCTCTCTCTCTCTCTCTCTCAGAAATAAATAAAACATTTTAAAAAAATATATCAGCTGGGGTGCCTGGGTGGCTCAGTTGGTTAAGCAACCGACTTCAGCTCAGGTCATGATCTCACGGTTCATGGGTTCAAGCCTCGCATCAGGCTCTGTGCTGACAGCTCAGAACCTGGAGCCTGCTTCAGATTTTGTGTCTCCCTCTCTCTCTCGCTCAGAAATTTAAAAAAAAAAAAAAAAACACTTAAAAAAAAAATATCAGCTGTCTTTTCGATGGGCCCTGGCACTTTCAGACAGATTAAAAAAATACTGAAGTTCAAGTTACACAGAATTCTCGGATTATAAATTTTGTTGAAAGAATCTACCACTGAATCTACCATGAATGGGACAGGACACTGGAGGCCATGTAGCCCAGGTCTCCTGACATCTGGTCCAGGGTTTCCCCCACTCCTACCACACATGCAGACCTCACAAGTCATGTATTCACAGAACACGCAGGCTCAGAGAGTTCTACCTACGGACACAGCTCTGTCCAGCGCCCATGGCGTTCCATCCTGCTCCTGATGTTCCCTTCTGTCTGTCTCTGGGTGACAGCCTCAGCTCTTGTTTCTGGATTTGAACCTGCCCATGATCTTCCTTCCTGTCTGCCCTAGAGATTCTGGATTGCTTAGATGGCCCCCATAACCACTCTCTCTCTCGCAGAGAAAGAAAGTGGAGGTCATGAGAGCATGCGTGGCGGGAGATGCAGGGTCAAGATTCTGAGAAGCTCTGTACATTCCCTTCAGTGTCATCTCATTCCCTTCTTTAGCTCCTCTGTACCAAGAATGCCTCTCCCACTCTCTTCCAGCCTCTATCTGCTGCGTGGTCCATGTGTATCTACAATATACTCAGGTCCCCTCAAACAAGTCCCACCCCTCCCAGTTCGGTCGGCTCATCCCACTGGGGTTAATTCAAGCCACCAGACCCTCTAATGCCATCCCACAGCCTAATGAGGCCCAACCGCATCCCTCATTCCATCCAGCCCTCTGGAGAGTAATTTTCTCAATGAAGGAATTA